TCATTGTACAACAAGATCTTTTTATGAAACTTATGGCCAGATAACAATAATGTTTGGGATTATCTTATACAGGTTAACACGATATCTAAAAGTAACATTTTATCAATTAATTTTACATGACAATCTACATGTAGCATTGATATATTGCTTATACAACGACGTTTTCTTTTTAACTCGACAAAGTCTTTAAAAATATGAGGCTATGCAACGACGTTTTCCTTTTAAATCGACAAAGTCTTTAAAAATTTCAGGCTATACAACGACGTTTTCTTTTTAAATCGACAAAGTCTTTAAACATTTCAGGCTATACAACGACGTTTTCTTTTTAACTCGACAAGGTCCTTAAAAATTTCAGGCTATACAACGACGTTTTCCTTTTAAATCGACAAAGTCTTTCAAAAATTCAGGCTATACAACGACGTTTTCTTTTTAACTCGACAAGGTCTTTAAAAATTTCAGGCTATACAACGACGTATTCTTTTTTAACTCGACAAGGTCTTTACAAATTTCAGGCTATACAACAACGTTTTCTTTTTAACTCGACAAAGTCTTTAAAAATTTCAGGCTATACAACGACGTTTTCCTTTTAAATCGACAAAGTTTTTAAAAATTTCAGGCTATACAACGACGTTTTCTTTTTAAATCGACAGAGTCTTTAAAAATGTCAGGCTATACAACGACGTTTTCTTTTTAAATCGACAAAGTCTTTAAAAATTTCAGGCTGCAGTTTTTGCATAATGCAAGTACCACAAAAAATAAGAAAATAGTGCTGTATATGATTGTGTATGTGTATTTCAATAATAATAATAATAAATATATCTCTTTTCTAGTAAAACTGTATTCTTCAGGTACTTTGAACGTTTTGTAAACAGAATTAAAAACCCAATTGTTAAAGGGTCGTCCAGGTATAACACGGGCATGCGAAACTGTTAGATCAGAATCAACAGGGATAACATCGTCTCGCTATGCTATTTATGTCTATTGTTTGTTATGTGTTCCGTGCTGGACTATAGCCATATATTTCTTATTTTGAATACTTTGAGTATGCCAGATCTCCACTATGTGTTATCCACTATGCTATTTCCAATTAACCTAGTCCTTGTACTTACTTCCGAGAAAGAGGGGGGGGGGGGTGGCAATAATTAACGGGCGAAAGAAGAAAGGGAAAAGAGAATCTGAACCTAACCAGAACAAAGACTGTTTGTGACACGAATGTTTAGTGTGTCTCCTTCATGCAGCTTAAAAATGACTGGGATTTAAGTCAAGATCCAAGGCGCCTTCTATCTTACTTTTAGAATGACGTGTAAATGTGCGAGGAATGAGGTGGTCTTTGATGCAACCGAGAGCGTTCAACGTTACATCAATACTCATTCGTCTGAGAAACGTCTTTGTCTTTAAGCGATACACAAGTAAAGGCTTTGTATCCAACAGTTGAATTGACACTAATATTCCCTTGTCTTCTCTTCTCGGATTAACTAATTAATTAGGTAAGTAACATGTCTATTATAAGAGGCAAGAAAAAGTGCAAACCTCTAGACGATAAAACACTATGCCCAATCGTTAGTTTCAAACAAATTGGAGGCCCGGCATGGCCAGGTGGCTAGGGTGCTCGACTCGCAATCTGTGGGTCGCGGGTTCGAATCCCCGTCCCACCAAACGTACTCGCCCTTTCATCCGTGGAGGCGTTATAATGTGACGGTCAATCCCACTATTCGATGGTAAAAGAGTAGCTCAAGAGTTGGCGGTGATGACTAGCTGCCTTCCCTCTAGTCTTACACTGCTAAATTAGGGACGGCTAGTGCAGATAGCCCTCGTATAGCTTTGCGCAAATTTCAAAAAAGAAACAAGCAAATCTTCAACAAAACTTTAGACAGAAAGTAGATAAGATATTTAAATCGTGCAGATACGAAATTTGATTTTTTTTTCTGGGATAAACGATTTCACTGTAAACATTATGTTTAAATCGACGCTATTAAATTTAATTGATATTGATTAAAATTGCTTTATTCTGATTGTGAAATTAAATCAATTGTTTTTATAGAGAACCTTATGCCATAAACTGTCCTTTAACAGTAAGTTTGTTTTTATCCGAATTAATGATATATTTTGATAGTTGTTATTTTTTAGTTTGAGTGTGTTGATCAGCTTAAGTTATAAATCTAAGGGAGGATAGGTCCGTTACGACATTTTTGTGTTACGCCAATCGTGCTTGACGTATCTAATTTTTCTTGTCATGTAAATGCTAGTAGCGTTTTATGTAAACATAGTGTTGTGTCTTAATAAAATAATCAAATTCAGGCACCTTTAAATTTTGCTATGTCTTACCAAGCTATGCAAAAAAAAAAAAAGTTAAAAATTGGTGTCTTTTCATGATTCGTTAATCAAATATAAATAATAATGACTCATTAATGTAGATGTATAAGTGTTCTACTGAGCCATACAAACACAATGTTTAGTGGCATATTGAAGCAGAGGTACAAGTATCTTATTAAATATATTCTGTAAAGGATATAGCGTGTCAATGTAGGTGTCGACCTATCCTATTGCATTATATAAAGATGGTGCAGTAGTACGTTGATGTAGATGTATCTTATTGAGTATATTGTATAACGAACGTAGCTTTAATGTAGACCTATCCTACTGCGTTATATAAAAACGATACTAGTGGGACGTTGATGTGTAAGGGTTCATACCTTTTCTGAGTGGTATATATGCATAATCCACTGTTCTCTTAAATATTATAGTTTACACATGACTTTTTTTTTTCTTGTAACATTCCAATTAAGTATTTTTCTAAGATTACTTACTGTCACGTGTATTGCAGGTTGTGAGTTATCTGCTACTTAAATAAGCTGATTGTAACATCCAGAAAACAAACACGAAAAACAAAACTTTATATGTCTCTAATTACAAAACAACTTTACCGCAACATATTATAAATAAACAGTAATAATCATTTTATGATCACCATTGTTTTCGGATAGGTTTAAAACCAAATTAATGAAACATTCGTTATTAATAACAAACTAAAGTGATAACTAGCCAAATATTAAGCTTATTTACAGTTTGTAGCTCTAGATTGGAAAAGTTCAACTTATAAATATGGTACATATTTAAGATTTAAGTGAAGCAATGTTTTAAGACTTCGCTGTTTATCACATGAAACTTCGGCTGTGTTATAGCATTCACAGCAATATGTAAACATATATTACACACAGAAGTTACCGTAATAAACGCTACCAATTAGCAATAATTTAATTATCTTTATTTCTCTAAGAGTCTAAGTACTAACGAATTACACTATAACTAACTTATGAATTTCTTTTTTGTACTTAACTGGCGTTAGCTTGTTGTTATTGTTTCATAACTTCTTAATATTACAAGATTTAAAATTGACAAAATCTTTACGTACTAATTCAGAACTAGAAATAACCTTGACATCAAACATTATTTGAAGGGGAAGAATATTCTCCACTGAGCTATATGTTAAATTATTAATTCAGGTAATGTTGGAATTCTGTAAGCCTAAGGTACTCTGATATACGTTATGACTGGTTTTGTTGTTGTATTATCTGAATTATTTACACACAACTGTTTACAAGTCGATGTCATTCATTAGATTTTATCAATGTAGAGTTTGCAAAATTGTAATCATTTATAGTGAACTGAATCAAATTTTAAACCTTGTTCTATTGCTTCTTAAGACAAGAATTTACTTCTCTAACCAAGTCTATATGGTTGTATTTCGGTCTTGTTTTTTATGTATTTCTCTAACCAATTCTGTGTGTTTGTATTTCGGTCTTGTTTTTTTATGTATTTCTCTAACCAATTCTATGTGGTTGTATTTCGGTCTTGTTTTTTTATGTATTTCTCTAACCAATTCTATGTGGTTGTATTTCGGTCTTGTTTTTTTTATGTATTTCTCTAACCAGTTCTATGTGCTTGTATTTCGGTCTTGTTTCTTTATTTATTTCTCTAACCAGTTCCATGTGGTTGTATTTCGGTCTTGTTTCTTTATTTATTTCTCTAACCAATTCCATGTGGTTGTATTTCGGTCTTGTTTCTTTATTTATTTCTCTGACCAATTCCATGTGGTTGTATTTCGGTCTTGTTTCTTTATTTATTTCTCTGACCAGTTCCATGTGGTTGTATTTTGTTACTCTATTTGTAAAAAAATATTCTCAAACGGTTTTAATGCGTTCAATTAATCTTAAACATATTGATTGTTTCTCTGTTGTTGTTGTTTTTAGGACAAGATTTGAGGTATTGAAAAAATGTTAGCATAGCGTTAGTTCTCAATTTCATGGTTATCTTTCTTTGTTACAGCTGTCAACGCTACGTGTAGAAAGTTATCTTTTGCTGTCATGGTTGTCAACGCTGTATGTACAATGTTAGCTTTCGTTGTCATGGTTATCACTACTATTTGTAGAGAATTAGCTTCGTTGTTATACATGGTGTTTCAAGCAATGTTACTTTCGGGAGGTTACTACTTATTTTATTAAGATTCCAGGTAGAGTCTTAGCTTTTATAAATATTATTTATAATATCTTAAGCTATCAAAAATAGGGTTTTAACTGTTTTATATATTTATGTACTTTTACGTGAAAAATGGCCTGCTCGAATAGTGTTCTATTTTCATTTCTGCAGTATTCCATATTCAATATTTACTGAACTAGAAACACTTTGTGATGTCGCGGTATCAGCGGTTCAACGTTTTTTTTGGCTCATAAGTCAAAATATGATGTAAGATATTGACTATAGAATGAGAAGCGGCTTTGTATGTTGTTCTTATATAGTCTTTGTTGGCGGTGTTTATGATATCAGATACTATGAATGATATTTTCTATATAAAACTAAAAGCTTACCTGCTCGAGTATGGTTAGGGCAGATATGCTTAAAATTTTATGTAGCGCTAGTGTTTAAGATTGTTATTTCTTTAAAGAAAATGAATTATATCTACATTTTGGCACTGAATTAGACTTCTTGACATTTTCCTGCAGATTTTATGAAACAGGGTCAATAAAACCTGGTGTCATTGGGGGAAGTAAGCCTAAAGTGGCGACTCCCAAAGTGGTTGATACAATAGCTGCTTACAAGAAAGAAAACCCCACCATGTTTGCTTGGGAGATCCGAGACCGCCTACTATCTGATGGGATTTGTGATCAGGATAACATCCCCAGCGTTAGTTCTATCAATAGGTAAAGAAACAATTTTTATTATGTATCCTTGTTTTTATAAAGGAAGGAAGATCTGTGTATCTGTGTGTAAGAAGTTCAATGGTCCAAATTTGATTTTTTTATTTTGTGTTCGCGTTCAGAAAAATATTAATTATTTGACACAGTTTTCAAAAACTTTTTAAACAATTTCTATGGAACAGATCTGGAGTGAAAGGTGTAAATATGAATTATGGGGTCACAAGGTGTAGGTCATTATAAACCATACATAGATAAGCATAACGTAGTTTGTAAAAAAAAAACACCAGTGATATATTAATCTCTATAAATTTCAGTGATGATTAAGAGCTACTTTTGAGAAAATTAAACTTATTATTACGCAGCAATACAGCTATGAATGTACTGAGGATTAATTACACTTTATGAGAACAATGTTCCATGTTCAGTGTTGCCCTTAGAACTACATTTCTATCCGTCTGATGGCTATGATGACGACTGTTGCTGAACAAAGCAATTTTCATTTGCACCAAGTTGCTGCAAAAGACTTAATGTTAGACCATACATCTTAACAATTTTTTCACAAACTGTCCACTGTACTTGGACGTCTAAGTATACAAAATGTAGAAAAGTCAATCGAAACGACATCGGGGGACTTGACAATCATGTGATCGAATTGGATTGCTATGACTTCAGTTTCTTCATCATTTTTTCATGAAACTAGCCATAATTTTTAGGTATACCAGAAAGCTAGTGAACTTCTGACTTCTAAGCCTTCGTCTTTTTCAAACCCTTGTATCTTATTTTATTAACAGTATGGAGATGTGCGCCAAGCCTCATCGCAATGTCTTTTTGTTGTTTGTTTTTTTAATCGAAAGGTTCTCTTTCGTGACCATGGCGAACATTGAAAACACCCCATTTCGAAATGCTGTACATTATGGCTGTATGTTACTTAGTAATCTCCTATACAAACATCCTTATCGAAAAGGAGTGTATCGTATTCCTCCAGTTGCATTCACCCTAACTACAAAGTGCTGTTGAGTGGTCGAGAATTCGTCCTGAACAATTCATATATATATATTAGTGCCAAACATGGCGCATCTATGACAACACGCCACTGAATTAGCATATGCAAATCGTTGTTATAAAGTGCAATTTGGTCGCTGTATAAAGTAAAAGAGCGAAACCACTATTGTTCATGAGCATGGAAGGCATGAAAGTTTCAGATATATATAAACCATGTATAACCATGTAAGTCAAATAAACTATATTATTCCGGTGTATTACAAGGCATATAGAAATAAAAAAAATGGTTGCATCTTCAGCGCGTTACTCTCTCGAAATGTAAGGAAAAGGTTTCAAATAAATCATTGTGTTCGAAATGTTAACCATAAGCTTCTCTGACACATTATAGAACAATATAGCTTTTGTGTAGCTTTGCGCCAAAACATGAAACGAACGAACAAACAATCTAATGAATACAACAATGAAGCGCTAGTTGGTTCATCTCAAGCAGGTCATCGAAAACTCATAGCTCGTGTCCTGATTTCTGTGCGCTGAAAGTCTCTATCCTGTGATTTCAAGAAACGTTTGTTATTCGAACAGTGGTCATTGCTATAGTTCTCCCTCATAGCGGTATACAGTCAGAAGAAAATATGTCTTGAAAGTAACACTGAGAAAAGTCTAACAAAAAATACATTATCTTCTAAAATATAGAAACGTCGTAGGTGGTATAAGGATCCGCTTAAAGTCATCTAGTAAGTTCATGAACACGTCATTGATAAACAGATATAGCGATGGATAGATAGTGAATAGTTTTCTTTCTTCTAACTCTAAGAGGAGCACTTCTACTCATGCGCTACAACAAAAACGAAATACTGCAAATAAGAAACGTAATTCTAATCCTTTACTTAACGATCTGTAACTTTGATGATAATGACCCTATTCAAAAATTCTTCCCCTCACTTCTGATGTCCTCGGTGGATTTAAACATCATTAGATGTTATCGTATTTATACATATGGTTTATAGTAGGCCGTTAACTAACAGTTTATCCGCATTAAAATTCAATCAAATATCCTCATTTTGGAATCAAAATGATCCAAATTAGATATCATATTATTATGCTTATAGCTCGATATAGCCAACGTTTGTTAATAGAAAGGGAACGTTGTTCTACGTTCTTCTAGAGCCGATTAAGATCATTTTCTATCACTGAAGGAAAAATATCTATATTTTAAGAAACCGTTTACAAACAACACTTTATTAGTCTGTTTCATTCTGCCTGACTATATGTTGGTTTCAACGTAAAGTTAACTCCTAAACACTCAAAAAAATTAATCACCCCCGCTTTTTTTTTCTGTATTTCCCTTAAAAAATAGTCAAATTCAGTAAGATACAATTTTATCTGTAGGTTTATTCTAGTGAAAAGAATAACTGATCAGTTTATGTTTGGATTTCATGACATCTAAAGATACTCTTTCGAATTTTATTCACTGTAACTGAACAATATGAGGCCATTAGTCTAAGTGAACCATGCATTGTAATCCATCTGGGATCACGCTTACATGATTTTTTGTTTGTATCTTGTTAAAGGGGTGATCTCTAAACTACGTCTTATATTTTCTACGATAGATATAAAAACTGTGACTAATCTTATTCAAAAAGTATAGTTTGTTTCATCATATTAGATGTCGATGATGTTAAAGGAATTGAGGTGTAAGGATGTTAGTGACTATCACTGATAAATCCGCCTTCATTATTAATTTACTAAATTCATATCAGAGTTGAAACCTCCACAATGGGCCTTTCAAGCAAAACGAAAGGAGATATTCCATTAAAGAGGATTATTAACACCAAGAGTCCTATCAGATCACCACGAAACAAGCACTGCTACTTTTCCCGATGGAAAAGAGCGATGAAACTGGTGTTATACAAAGGCAGTTGGTAGATGCTGAAAGCTTAAATCGATTAAGGGTCAACCGAGTCTGTGGTAGCTAGTCATGCACGACTTGTTTTGTTCTCTGAGAACACGTGCTTGTAGAGGCCACATAAGGATTAGGGTATACATACGTATACAACGTGTAGAAAGTGTCACAGGCTTTATGAACCATTATTCATCGTTCGAAAGTTCGGAGTATCACAGACGAAAGAGTGGGACTCGTAGCAGTTTTGAGGACCCTCAAAAGAATTAGAACTATAACAATCAATAGTCAAACAAACAATTAAGAAAGTGAACCTTTTCGTTATCATTACGGTCTATTATGGAAACAGCCTTGAGACTTGTCAAAGCTCTGAATATTGTTTCGTTTTTGTTTTTTACATGTGGTTGTAGGTCCATAGTCAGTGAGGAGTATTTCTCTGTTTTTGTTTTTTACGTGTGGATGTAGGTCCACAGTCAGTGAGAAGTGTTTTTATTTTATGTGAATGATTGGTTTTTTTCAAGTGAAATATAATTTTTCACTAATACCATGGTGACAACGGAAAATCAGCATTAAGCTCCAATCAAACATCTAAACGCTTTAAGTATCCTTTTGGGCATAGTGAAATTTAATTTAACCCTAATACTGGAAATTAGTTATTTCATTAAAATATTACACACACAAATCTTCATTTGTGGAGAATACAACAAAACCCCTATTCAAGGTCAACAAATTCTCTCTCTCTCTCGACACCGTTTGATGTTCTTACATTTTCTTTTAACACGTATCAACCACAAACCTCGTAAAATAATGTCTACATATTTATACAATTCGTTATTAAGTAATTGTTAATTAGTAACTAAAAAAACATATATATATATATTAAAAAGATAACAGTAAGTTGATTCCGACATGTTTTCCTGCTTATGATTGATGGTTCTAAATTAAAGGTGGGGTAACGCTACCTAGACTGCGTTACTCACAAATGTTTTGCGACAGGACTCCATAATTAAAGGGACACGAGCTTATGCTTTGTACAGTGCAAAAAAAAAAGCTCCTGTAACTTTTAAACCATAAACATATTCCAACGATAACAAAAAAGGCAGAAAAAAATGTACGTTAACTCGCATTAAATGTTACACGCTATCTTGATTTATCAACTGATGATTGTGGAGCCAACCGAGACATTGAAATTGTAATTTTGAACATGAATGTCACCTCATGCGCTTTTTGCTGAATTGCCAGGTCAGAGAACCCTAGGATTCAGGTACGACCATTCTTATTTTGGAAGTAAATCAAATAGAAAAACATTCAACCAGTAGCGCTCGCCGCCATAAGACTTTGTAAGGTTTCTTTGAACCTAATAATATACTGTCATTTTTATACCGCAATCACAGCTAAAAATGTGGAATGAGTTGAATTTCACCATGTCTCGAACGTTGGACCGTTCGACTTGCAGCCCGAAACATTAACGACTGGATCCCCGCTGAACCACTGGGGGGGGGGGGGGCTTTAGTTTAGTTGAAGTCAGTCAAACCTATAGCAACGCCTGAAAAGATTGCAAGTTTAAAAGTATCCCCTCCCCTCGTCTTTTATGCTGGTTTTTTGACAGTGATCGGACCATCTGTCTGCCTTTAACTCTTGTTGTTGTGTTTGTACATAATCAAGCTAGGACTTAACTCGGCCATTATAGTTGATTGTGTGCTCGGGATGAGAAAGCTTGCTGCTACACAATCTTGCTCTAAACTTCTCATGCATTCACTACAAATGCTATTAAGTTGATTTGACTTTTAGAAACTGCCAACTTACGTCATATAGGCCGTGCTCAACGAAGCAGAGGAAACATTTCTGTGAATAGATTGCCTGTCAAATTTCCAGTTAATGTACTTGTGAAGTTACCGTCGCTAACAAATAGGAGAAGTAGAGAGTAATAAATGAAGGAGGTAATCAGCCTCGCTAGATTTTACTGACTAGTTTCTGCACTAAGAATGAAATACCTTCTGTCAGAAGGAGCTTCAAAGAAGCACTCACATACGCAATTATTGTCATCACAGAACACAATATCACTAAAAGTAACGCTATAAAGCAAAAATAAATGAACATAATAATGGGGATTTAATCGTACGTTGTAGGTTTAAATATTTATGTTAATTTTGCACCACTTCTTCTCGCGACACTCTTACTCTAAGCTTTATATTATATATCACTTGAGAAATTCAAAATAGTAAGCTTGTTCGTATCTTGAGCATTTCTGTTCTGTTCCAGTCTTCATTATAAAATTTAATCCCAGCAATTGGTTTGAATTTCGCGCAAAACTACACGAGGATTATCCGCGTTAGCCGCTCCTAATTTAGCAGTGAAAGACTAGAGGGAAGGCAGCTAGTCATCACCAGCCACTGCCAACCCTTGGGCTATTTTTTTACCAACGAATAATGGGATTGACCATACCATATTAAGGGTCCCATGGCTGAAAGAGCGAGCACTGAGATTGAGAGTCAAGCGCCCTAGCCACCTGGTCATGCCGGTCCAAGAATCCCAACAAACATCGCGAGAATGGCCCTTCTGATAAGTTAAACATAACTTTCAATTCATCTTAAGACTTAAATAGTTATACTTTTTGTACATTTACAGTAATATTATCTTTAAATATTTGTTATACACTTCAATAGACGTACAGAATCATGCGAGTCTGGGTATTATAAAAGAGTATTTAATTAGAAGTCTACGGATGATAGTTAAAACCTGAGATAATAAAAGTCGTCTGGACTGATTTGTTGCACATTTTATCATTGAAGAGTAAAAATCTTCTTAAAGTGTAGGTTGTAAACTTTAATGTACGTTCAGGCAAATCCAAATAATATATTTTGTAATCTTCAATACATCTACAGCAAAAGAGTTATGATACCTTTTTAACCTTTACATAGAAAATCCTAAAGATATTGTTGTCAACTTGAATATGTGTAGACGGAATCCTGGTGATATGTTTGCTATAAATTTAGTACATATATAGGGAATCCCAATGATATATTTGTTTGTAAACTTAATATATAAAGAGAGTAAACTTAACAATATATTTGTTGTAAACTTGAAGGCATATAGAGGAAATTCTAATGTTATATTTCATAGTTGTTGTAAAGTTTAATACATATAAAGAAAATTCTAATGATATATTTGTTGTATGCTTAATAGATAGAGAAGAAACCCTAACAATACATTTGTTGTAAACTTTAATGGGTATAGAATGTATCCTAATGTTATATTTGGTGTAATTTAATTCATATATAGGGAATCCTAGTGATACATTTGTTGTAAACTTAGTATACATATATATATTAAGTTTTGGATTTTCCTGTATATATAATAAGTCATCAAAAACATAGTAATTTAAAAAAAATACAATAGTTTGTATGTATCTTTTCTCACAGCAATAAAGATATTTGTATTTTACTGTATATATGGTATATATATCGTCTTCGAATAATCAGTTTCTTTTTATACCATTCAACCGATGTGGTTTACATATTGCATCATTTCGAGTAATTGGATATTTTGCCTATTTTTGAAACACTCGGTATAAAAAAATTGACCCAAACATTGGGGAAACTTACAAGTAAATGAGTGATTTCACGTAATTGTGGTAATTGCGATACGATACTGTATTTTGATTACATTTTCTGTGTGACTCATGTGTTGTTAGAGGCTCTGTAATCAACAAACGAATATGCCCACGAGCACTTTTCTCCACAAATAGTTTAAAGAATTGTGTTTAATGAAGCCATTATAATCCATATCATCAGTAATTCTTGTGTGACATACCTCTAGAACCTTACAAAATAAAGAACTATAAATAAGTTAATTATTCCCAGAATATGGTTCTTCAGTAAATGTTTGTGTTAAGTGTGGTTGTTATGTATTTTAGAACACGTGAATATTATTTTACAATAACCCTGAAAAGGTTTTGGAGGTGAGCGGAAAACCTTTAATACATCATTTATAAATATATACATTCCAAACTAAGTGTATTCCTAAACATTTTTACGCTATTCTATGTCATTCATTGTTTTTGTTAGAAAGCCAACGTACAGAATACGAGAGGTTTAAAAGGAGGTACCCAGATGATTATTTCTGGTAATGTAGAGGTTCTTTTGGAAATTACTGAGGGTGTGGGGAATTATTCTTCATCATTGTTTCATAACAAACTTTTAATAGGCCTAAAGTAAAGCATTCCTAAAGGTATAAGACACAAGTTCGACATGAGAGTGCCAAGTATACGACATGCATGAATTCCTAGCTATAACGATAAAAATTGATGTGTTAGAGT